GGTATTCCGACATTTGGTCGTGTGTCGACATTTGGCAATCTACTGTATAGTGTATTTTTATGCCTTACAAAAAAATCAAAAAAAATCCCATTTTTCATACTGCGCCGTTCATGGGGTCAATCACGAAATTCTAGTGCATCTAGTTTTTGATAAGATTTCACTAGAAAACTAGAAAATTCTAGTGCGTGAAGTTGGCTCTCAGTAGTTTTTCATATAAATTATATGGCCGTTGTTGTAAAGTTGGTTTCGTTTGTGACGTCATTCTTTGCACTAGATTTACTAGTTTTTCTAGTATTCACTAGCGTGATTCGCCCCATGGCGCCGTTGAGCCGTGACATCTCACAAAAAAACGCCTAATTCGTGATCAGGGGATCCCATAGCCAAGGTTATTACCCTCGCCGTATTTGTTTTTCAATTTTTTCATATTTCTGCTACACCCTAGTATATTTTCAACAACAACAACTTGTGTATATTTCTCAAAAAAATTCTCCCGGGAAATTTGAATGGTATGGGTAATGTTTTGGTCACCGAAATTTTTTTGGGTGGATATCGATGTCTATGGTATGAGTTGCTGATAAACGGTATCAAATTGAATGCCGCTCAAAAAAATAAATAAAATTCTGAATAGAACCAAAAGTGTTATAGATAACAACATTTCAAAAATAAATCCACAAAATAAAACGAAATTGTGCGTCAGAGTTTCGAATTCATCTTTGCCATTTGAACGAAATTGAACAGTCAATTCTGGACTTTTCTAAGCTAATCGAATAAGTTTTATTTTATAATGTAACATATGTCCATAAAGTCTTGAGAGTAAATTCAGGCGCGTATTGCGCTACATAAACAAAACCAAAAATGTCAACCAATGCATAAACAACTATCAAACTCAATTCGACGATATACATCCATTTGCGATGACGTACAAATTGGATTTACGAAAAAGTGTGTCAAATGGTTTTGGCGGCTAAGTTCAAAACAAATTCTGCATGTGTCTAAAGATGAACCAATCTGTCTTTGAACCATGTATCGTTTTTCATGGATTTAATATGAATGATTAACTGATACAGTATGTTCAACAACAACAATAATTTAATATGAATATTAAGATTCTATAAAAAGCAAAAAGTAATAATAATAATGACTGCACCGTACAGCCTTTCTTCGCCTGGTGGTTTATTTAAATAAATAAATAAATTTTATATACAATTTTAAATTTCATTTAGTAATTGAGAATATGATGTATAATTCTATTGGTGAGATCTAAAAGAACGCAAGTGTGTTCGACTTTGTCGCAATAAAGGAATGTATGTTTTGCATAAAGTAAATTTTGAAAAAAGAGAGTATGTATTACGGCTGAATCAGTTATTGGAAAAAGAATGCATGTTTCGCACCAGATAAATTTTGAAAAAAGAGAGTATGTATTTCGGCTGAATCAGTTGTTGGAAAAGGGGTGCATGTTTCAGTTTTGTTGGTTTGGATAAAAGAACGTAAGTGTCTTTGTTCTGGAAGTGGGCTTTGGTGGATCCTCAGGATCATCAGAACCGCTCCCAGTTCTGGAAGTGGACCCTCAGGATGGGCCAGGGCATTGCCAAACCATAGTCTGATCCATCCTGAGGATCCACCAAAACCCACTTCCAGAACTGGGAGCGTTCTGATGATCCTGAGGATCCATCGAAGCCCAGTTCCAGAAAAATCATCGTTAAACATGCATCCCTTTTTTAACAACTGATTCCGAATCACTTACTTTCCTTTTGCAAAATTTATTTGTTGCGAAACATGCGTTCCTTTATCAGCAACTGATTAAGCCGGAAAACAAACTTTCCTTTTACAAAACTTTTTTGGTGCTAAACATACTTTCCTTTTAGTAAGACAGAATTGGCAAAACACATACATTCCTTTTCCAAAATTTAAAGCGAAAAAAAAACATACGTTCTTTTAGATCTCACCCATAGAATTTATATTATTAAATATGCCAGTTATATTTTACTTTATTAATTTTTGGCTATTTCTCAATTATTCTCTATTCTGTTTTAAATAATTTTCAACTCTTAGCTTAATTGTATTAAGATTTACATTCAAATCAATTAATTTAATATCACCGTTTCTTAATGTTTTGCAATAGAATTCATTGAAAGTAGTAAGCATGTTATTAATTGGCTCATATAATAATAATAATAACTGCACCGAACAGCGTGCCTTCGCCTTGGTGGTTTATTGAAAATATTTTGATCAAATAAATATAATATAATATAATTTAATTTTTATCAAGCATTTTTGAGAGTGTAACTGAAAAATTATTGCTTCTCTCCGGTAGTATTTTCAATCTAAGTGCTCAAACCTTTCAAATCTCTCATCGAGTACCGAAAACCGGGTTGGTCAAGCAAAATTTATTTTTTGGTGATTCTTATGGTTACAGAACATCCAAATTTGAACCAAAATGATTTTGACACGATCATAAGTAAAAGATTACGAAAAAAATCCAAAGGTTGTCCAAAATTGGGTGTTTACCTAGACCTTATAGCATGTTGCACTGAAAAATTCATCATTTTGGGGAGTAAAACATTCATCGCTATATCGAACCATGAATCAAGTGCAAGTGGTTTCTCTTGCATTGATAATGTTAGGGCACTACTATTTCTTTTTTTCATTTTTCATGACACTGTCGTACGTCCGTACGTATTTTGCATTTGCCATTTCAGCGGTCTTCCGTGTTTTTCGTACAAGCCGCCCATGTAGATGGTAAAAAATCGTGAAAAATGAAAAAAATAATTAATTTTTTTTTCTTCAATTCTCAAATACAGTGAATCTAATTTTTTTGATAGACAAAATAACAAGCAAAGTAAGCAGAGAAACTCTCCACTAACATAGGATTCATATACGAATGGCGTGTGAGTGGAGTGTGTCATGCAAAATTTTGTCTACCAAAAATATTAGATTCACTGTACTACTCAACTTTCTGTATCACCTGGTGAAATCAGAATGAAAAAAATCGCGTTCCTTATCATGCGAATCAAGATCTGGATTTTTTTCACTTTTGGAGTGCTCTATACGAGTCTCCGAGAGTTTCATATAAACTTCCTATGTAACACCTATTGAATAGTGACCGAATGCCAATCGTGATTTGGGTGATAAGGAATGCGATTTTTTTCATTCTGATTTCACCAGATGGTACAGAAAATTGAATAGTATTTGTAAATCGAAGAAAAAAAATTTAATTATTTTTTTCATTTACCATCTACATGGGAAGGCTTATATGAAACTCTTGGAGACTCGGTATAATGCACAAATGAGTTAAAATAAACGAGATACTAGCCAGAAGTGAAAATAAATGTGATACATACCACTTTTATTTTCAATATCTTTCAAGTATCAGATTTATTTTAAACGCGAGTTAGTATCTCATTTATTTTAATTCATCGTCTTGTATTGGTATTTTTTTAAAGAATGTTTGGAGGTCATGATTATTCTTACCCATTCATATAAGACTAGAGACGTCGACAAACCGAACTTTGATAAAGTGGTTTTTGTATGGTAGGATCTTCTTTAGAAGGTGTTTTAGAGCCATTATTTCGAAAATTTAATGCTAAAAATGAAGAAACCTCCATTACTTGCTCCATTATTAACCAAATATTGTTGAAATCGATTGAATTCGTTGAGAAGTATCTGATTAAAGAGAAAATTGTGCTTTGCAATCAGAAAAAATCATAATCACTTCTTAAAAAATAGCGTTTCCATAAAAAAACATCTTTTTAACTTCACAAAAAGACACTTTGGATGTATGTTATAGGCGAAGGTCCAAAATACTTGAAACGAGCAAAAATTCGTGGGATGGATTGAGGAAAAGTTGAAAGAAATGCATACTGAGAAAAATCGAAGACAATGGTCCGTTCAGTGTAAAGTGAATGTGCTATTCGATAGCCTATGAATAAAGCCTATCAATAAAAACAAACTTAATATTTTATGTTTGTTGTTCAAATGGCGAACGTCTGAATTTACTGTCAAGACTTCATGGACATATGTTAAAGTCGAAAGCATTCATCAAATAAAATACACAGATAAACTCTATTTAATACTCCAAGATGAATTTGCAGAGTGAGTCGGACAAGTAAAATTAGACCACCTTAATAATTGGTTAAAATTTTGTTTTGTTGGGTCATGTTTTTGAAAATTGTTCAGCCATGCTTTTGGCGGTCTATTTGACTTAATTAACAGTGCTACGAACAAGAAAACAATGTTTTTTTGATCAAAATCGGACCCCTCGAGGCGCTAGACCTGTGACTTCAATTATGTCAAAAAACATCATATTCGTGAATCTTACATATTTTTCCATAACTTATAACTATATAGCCAGTATCTCATTCTGTATTTTACAAAAATCGAACCACCCTAATAAGCGTATTTTTGTTGAGTGTTTATTTGTTGATTCGAGTATACATGTTAGACTGAAGCATTTTGGTAACCTGCAGTAGCCGTAGTTGAAAAAAACAACAATAACTATCGATAAAATAAGATTTAAGACTATAATAATATCGCTTTTGTCTAGAGAAATTTTCAAATTTAACAAAACATGTATCTTTTATCAAAAATCATTTTTTATTTATAATTCAAGATGTGTAAATTACATCGGTTATTTTCAAAGCAATTCATTAAGATTCTATGTTTGAGATTCATCGAAAGATATGACATATGAATCGTTGCGGCGAAACAGTAGCTCTTATTTTTCTCCAAATAATACTGCAACATAAAGTTTTTTATGAATACTTTATTTGTTGTATTACAACAAATAAACCGTGTGAAAAAAACTTCATGTTGCAGTATTATTTGGAGAAAAATAAGAGCTACTGTTTCGCCGCAACGATTCATATGGACGACGTTCAATTGAAGTGAAATTTCATTAAGACCAAAAACTTGATTTTAACTTGAGAAGGGTCATATACTATAAATTCATTGTAATGTAAACCCGTCTGAAATTGTGCTTGACATAGATTGCCAGATGCGCACCAGACCCCATCTATTTGTTTATATTCTAATGGGAACGTCTTGCCGCAACCTCGAATACTCTGATACGTCGGATTTGGTATACCTATGATTAAATATTTGTAAATTAAATTAATTTAGTTAATTATTAATTGTTTATTTGTAAACAATGGAATACCTGATACATTGCTATTTGCAAAATACAAATCAGACGAAACACCTAATGCAACTTCGCACAACAACATCAAACCAATATTGTTGTCTCTAGTAGCTCGACAATAATTAGCAGCTTTTGAAACGCAATCGGCAAAATAAATACCTTTTCCGAACATGTAACCGGTCACAGGAGCTTCGACAGGGGCGATTTTTAATCCATTGGAGATGATGCTAACAAAATTCATAAGCCGAGAACCATGCCAGAGCAGTTGATGATTCCCCAAATTTGCATACGCTTGAAAACGAGTATCCTCACCTAAATTAATTCCATGTTTAATAAACTTTCTAACATTTCAGTTTTTTCATGAACTGTTTGGATGGAATCGATGATTGATGGTCCTCACCTTCTCTGTTAATTTTAAAAATTTCAAGGACCTCCAAATGATATTGATTGTGCGTATTTCCATGAGTATTAGCTACAATATTGGAAATTTCCAAAAATTCTACTGCCATTTTGTCAATCGATTCGATATTGGCCCTTAATTTGTCTTTTTTGTGGAAAGTTAAAAAAAAAAAACAGTTATTTCTTCAAATTAACTCAAATGTCGAACTCCATTGAACTTACGGAAGCAGGCATCAAGTGGGTTGACTTTGGACTTATTTGAATTTTCGTTGGTGTCCAAAAAATCATAAATTAATTCCATGTTTAGTAAACTTTCCAACATTTCAGTTTTTTCATGTACTGTTTGGATGGAATCGATGATTGGTGGTCGTTCTATATTAAATCCATGCGGAACCATAGTGTAGAATTTATTCGAAGCATCTCGTAGATCAGCGTACGTGGAGCCATTACGTGAAATTAATCGTGAAATATCTTTGAGTACGGTCATTGCGGAACGAATTTGCTTAGCAGAAATTTTCCCAAGAGGCATTTGCTTCAGATCGAGATGGCAACTAACCATCATACCTAATGTGACCACAAAAATTGAATTTTATAGTATTATTTTCTAAAGAGTATATGGGAGAAAAAAAACAACATTATTACTTTCCATTTTGTTCAGATCGAACAGCATCTGCATCAGCTGAAAAACTGGCATCGACAAAGTACTTGGTATCAGATTGCTTAATGTTTGTTTGTTCGGCGAAAATTCTATGTCAAGATGGTAGAATTTGCCAGGACGTTTTAAAAATCTCAAGTTTCCAAAGTTGTTTCCAGTTTTCTCTTTGTAAACAAATTTAAATCGCTCGATAGCTTCGTCGCGACGGCATGTTGTTAGTTTCTTACTACCTATTGTGGTTGAAATTCGGCCCCATGATTCAAAAAGCCAATAACTTTAGCCAAAAAATAAATAAATGTTTCAATTGGGAATCACTAATTGTTATAATAATAATAAAAAAATGGCGTACGAGTCACATTTGGTGCTTTCGAGAAGCTGCATTCTATAATAAGTATTTCTGTTGTTTTCAATGTCAACAACACCTAAAATTACTGAAAATTTAACCATTCTTCTATTCAAAATTTGGCAATATACGTGAGCAACATCTTCTAAACCAACATCTGGGTCAACTGGCACTCGGTCATCTAAAATACGAATACGGATATAAATTTATAAATGAATATCTTCGAATGCATTTGTTCACCTTTCCATTTGTAAGTAACTTTTTCCGGCAAAGATTTTGTATAGAACTCAGTGTCTTTTCTTATTAAATCTTTCTGTGGGATTCGCGCATATGGCTGTCAATAAAAGAAAATACAAGAGTCTCAAGTTTCCAAAGTTGTTTCCAGTTTTCTCTTTGTAATTAGGGCTTAAAAGAAATTATGTACTATCGTTTTCTTCTAAATAAAAATTATTTACACTCACATCTCCACCCCAATCACAAATAGACTCACTAATGATAAACAGAATGGGATCTGTGGTGTTTATTGCTGTTAAAAAGTCTTCAGAGACCTAAAATTGCAGATCGGTTAGATAATACGGAAGTCCACGCAGATCATTTTAAATCTATATCGACAGAAGAGGTTTTCATTTTTACCACTTGAATTTTCAATCGCTTGGCCTCTTTCATTTGAAATCCCATTCTTTCGATTTCAATCCGATTTGAGATAACAGCCGCCAATTTCGAATGAATAACAGAAACAACGGTGCCGCCCATTTTTCGAATGATTTTTTCTATTTCTTGATTTGATTTTTTAAGATTTCCCATCAAAACGAATTCCATGTTAAAAAGAGGATGTTCGTATGGTCTACGAAATTTGACGAATTGAATGAAGAAAATGAAAATCATATTTGTACATTTTTTCATTGAACTTACGTGTAAACCAAATCTTGTCCATTTTCATCAACCAATCGGAATGAATGCAGCACTCTAGTACGTATTGGCTGATTTGTTTTTAAAAATGGATATTTCGCTAGCAAGTTGCTAGATATTATCGTCGGTCGTCTTAATGGTTCTTTTACATTATTTCCACAATTGGACCAATTCGAAATCTGCATACATTTATAATCCGAATTGGCGAAAATAAGTTCTCCCGTATTGCATTTGTTACATGGGCTTAAAGCACCAAACATGATGATGTCCGTTAAATGATAAAGAAGCTAAAAGTTCACATGATAAATATGCCGATTGTTGCAAAATAATGTTTCATCTAAATTTCAAGTCATATTCCTTTGACTTACATCGACGGACGATTGAGGTGTTAGTTGAAAATTGGCACGCAATATAGTGTATCGATCATCCACGGACACGTAATTTGCTAGATTATCGTACAGTTCGTAATATTCTTTATTTTGAATTTCAATCAGTTTGTCATGATCAATGTGTTTTGGATTTGTTCTTTTCTCAATAGGTTTGTGCAATTCACGACTTATCAATCTGTAATGCGCATAGTTTTTCGATTAAAATATCAACAATTAAAAAAATCATTCTTACAACGAAACAACTTACGGTATTTGATTCATAACTGTTTCTTTGTCTTGTATTGATAGTCTTTTAAAGCCAGGAATTGATTCGGCTCCTTGTAACCAGCCAAGTTCAGATCTTGTACGCGCAAAGCATATAACATGGTACCAATTGGCTTTACCTGGAATTAACAGAAAAGTATGCAATTAAATAGAAAACATTGCTTAAATTTGATATTTATTGTTCACTTGATCGAAATGTGATCTTTTTTTCTCTCAAATTTTGTACCGCAATATTTTTGCAAATAAATATCCATTTATATATGTTCCATGGTCAAGCTATCTTACTTCCTTCAAAAAAATATTTAATTTTTGGATTTTTTTTTTTGAAAATATAGAAGATTTTACCATCGAACGCGGTATTGTGTTTTGTATCGTACACAACGTTCATTATACGTAATTCTTTTGTCTTTATATTTTGCTGACAACCAATACATTCATCATAATCTCCTCTTGAATATTCGATTGCGAAATCAGGTAGTCTTGGTTGTTTTTCATCATCATCCGAGTCAACTTCCATCGTACCTGAGAGAAAGATATATGTAGTTATTTACGTATCAAATGCTATATGAATTTTGAACTACAACCTAAATGTACTTTTATAGCCAATTGGTCGGCAAATCGCAAGCTGTGTGATGAAAAATGGAATTCAATAATGTGATCAATATACTTATATGATGGAAGAAAAGTATTGGGTTCTGGTTATTTGAATTGTATAGAAAGTTCTAGAAAAAATACTTTGCATATCCATCGAAAGCAGCTTCTGTACGTGGGAGGCACGTTTTGAAAAAACACTTCATATGGTAAAACTGCGGTAACTGGCAATCATCTTCGTTCGACTAAACAAAACGAAAAAAAAAATTAGAATTTAGATGAACATACATGTATTTTATTTCATTTGTACTATAGTGAAACATAATACCTGAATCATAATAGCCATCTCCAAATTTGTGTTTTGACGTCCAGCTTGTATCATTGTACAACATCTACTCATATTTTCAATTTTGAAATAAAAATATGTTAATTATTAATTTTGAAAACTATTTTTATTTTCGATTATTATCCACGATTAATGTATTGATTAACGGGAGCTATTACCGGTGACAGCTATGGTTTCCACGGGAATAATAAACTTTATACGGCAGAGAGTTCATTTTTATATGAAAAATTCTATATTAAACAAGATTGAAATCGACCCAAAACCAAAGTCATGTACACATAACACTCTTTTTCAATAGTTAATTGTTTGTGTGGTCAACATATAAATTTTTGTTACTGTTATTGTATGTTTGTCGAAAGATATGACGGATTTGTCAAAAAAAACACTACATGTACTGATGTTTTCAACTAAAACAACTGTTGCCTACTTTTCGATGCGAAACATACGAAATATGTGTGTTATTTACATCTGACAATACTAAAATTTGACATTGAAAAATCAACAGATAGGCAAAGATTATTTGAAAAAACAATACGTTTTTTCATTTCAATTTGCTAAAAAAAAAATCAAAATCTTGACTAGATATAGTCCCACTAAACAATTGTTGGGTATATATTGATAGTTGAATGCGGGGTTGCAGTTCTATGTTATTTCAGTCGAATTTAACGTCACAATGGAATGAAATAAAGAGACAAAATAAAATGTACTTTAAATTGAAATCAATATTTTAATTAAAATGTAGCTTTGAAATCAACACCAATAATAATTGTCAGAGCTCAAAAAAAATATTTATTCAAATATTTTCGCGTTTTTCACAATTAATAAATATTTGGTGGTTTTCCAGTTTTTCACAAATATTTTTGCACAATTTTCGAAATAATTCCAATTTTCTAGGGTTTTTGGCTGGAGAACTGTTTAATTTTGCTGACGTTTTTTCAAGACAAAAAAAATATTCAGTCGAATTTCCATGAATTTTTGGTTACATTTTTTGTATATATATTTTGAAATATATTGATTTTTTATTACTATTTATGACTTTTTAGTTTCACCAAATTCTCCAAAGTACCAAAATCATTCGAATTTCCAAGAGTTTTTGAGTGTTTTATAAATATTTATCGTAAATATTTCGCCAGTTTCATCGTAAATATCAAATATTCAACAAAAATTTTAACAATTTTTTTTCCTTTTTTTAATTTGGAGGTGTCTTAAGCTATTCAGTTTTTTGCACAGACTCAAAGACGTAACTAGTACGCAATATCCAGTAGGAGCTGCTATCCAGTAGGGTGTAGCAGAAATATGAAATAATTGAAAAACAAATACGGTGAGGGTAATAACCTTGGATGTGGGATTTCCTGATCATGAATCAGGCGATTTTTTGCGAAAAAAATATAAACTGAGATGTCACGGCTCAACGCGGCGAAGTATCAAAAAATGGGCAAAATTTGGATTTTTTTGAATTTTTGTGTAAGGCACAAAAATACACTATACTTTCAGTATTGCTTATTTTTATGCTTAAATCATCAGTACAGAACCCAAATAACACATTGCAAAAGAAAAATTCCATGCAAAGTTAAAAATTGGTACCTCCACCATGAAGTGACAATTCATCGATTTGATACGAAAAATCTCAAAAATTCCAATTTTCAAATGATTCATCCAGAAGTCGCTGTCTTATATGGAACCGCAAGTTGAAAACTCCTTCATATCTTGAATCTGGGGACTACAAGACATGTTTTCCCAAGTGGCCACCAAATTGTGCCAAAAATGTTCCACCCTAATACATATTCTACACGTAGAAAACAAAACTTATGTAGAATACTTCAAATTGATCAAAAATAGAACAAAATTGAAGCTAAAATCGAAAATGTTACAGGGTGGGCCAGAATAACTGAAGGGTTTATATGTTCGGACATATTTTCGTGGAAAATGATAATTCCACAGCAATGAAACGACAACAACAATAACACATATTTTTACTGTCAAAATTTTGATGTCAAATGGTGTCGACATTGGTGACGGTATTTTGAAACAGACTGTGTAATCCATATTCATCGTATATGATCCTATGTAAAGTTCTATACTTGATCTAGTTCACATTGACGGTTCAAATCGTTTATGTCCACTAGCGAGGACATGGACTGTGTGTTTCTTCTGTTACATGTACGTTGTAATGGACAAGTATAGTAACATGGCGTCGTTCAAATAAATTTAAAAATCCGTCCACTCGTGTCGACACCATCTAGCACGGTAGTAAGGATTTCATTGCTGTGGATAATTCAATTAAATGAATATATTCTTATAAGGAGATATTAATGGTAAGATCTCCAGGACAATTTAAAATAGTTTTTGGATAAGCCTTTTGGATTTTTGAGCCTTTTTATGAAAAAGAAGGAAAGATGCGGTTATATTAAATATGAGCCTGCGTAGCCAACATAAAGACATTATGGTTTTGCTGGCCAGTTATTTTACTTTCTTAGGCATCAAAAGTTTATGATACAAACACTTCAATTATTCTGGCCCACCTTGTATATGGGTGATACACTTATTTTTCATTAAAGTTGATGTACTCCAAATTTTCGTTGAAATTTCTTCAAACTTTTAAGATATTTTTTTATAAAAATAATAAGTTATGCAAAATTTCACATCATTGAAAGTTGCTATGCAAATGACAGAGTTCCAGCTATGTTCCAGTGATAGTGTTCCAGCGTTCAAATGGGTGTATACCAAAGTGGAATCACATTAGTTTTGTTCTGAAAGTATCCTAACTCCAAATGAGATTAATATGTGGAGGTCTGTCGTACCTTTGGTACAAAACCTTCATTTTTAGTGATGAAATTGGAATGTGTTTTATTTTCATTCAAATTGTTTGAAACTTCACCAGTGGCAAGTGTTTGATGAAAAATGACGATTACCATCAATTTTTAGTCGATATGGTTGTGCAAAGATATTTTTATTTCAACTGAAAATATCATTTTTCAATAAATTCACATAATGTCCTACCGAGCTCTTGCGGCACCATCTATCTAGCGTTGAGTTATCGGCATGAAACTTTACACACGTTATTTGCACACCATATAGAAAAGTATTTCGGGGTAAGAGCGAAAAAATTTCAACTTTTGTGTTTTGGGGGCCAGTCTAAGCTAAAGTCAAATGAAGACGGGCAAGACCCACGGACAATTAAACAATAAACACCTTTATTTTACATTTGTATTGCAAATTATCGAATATGGATCGGAAATATGGAATTCACACTACGACAATATGTGCACAAGAATTGAGGAGAATAAACTGGGACAGTTACAGGCTTCCGAAATATGAACATAGACTTCTGCTTCTACAAATGATTACTCTTGAGGAGAGACGCAAGATGGCACAAGTGTCTTTCATCTTCAAAATTATTCATGGGGATATGAAGTCAACTTACGTTTCGAATAGTATGAAATATTATGATTCAGCGTATGATATACGTGCAACTCCACTTTTCGATTTGCCAATTAGAAGGAATAACTATACAAATTTTGAACCAATTAATTTTATGCTTTCAACTTTCATTATTTATTATGCCAAACAGATGCCTAACAGTGATATTAATTAATTGATATAGAAGTAAATTTATCAACAGTAAGATTAAGAATTGAAAATTATTCAAAGCAAAACAGATGAAATCAAAAATTATTCAATAATGAGAATGGAATTATTGTAAGAAAACGAAACATATAGAAAATATTTAACTTCTACATGAAAAATAATAATGGAGACATAAACATCAAAAAATTCTCAGAATTGCTTGATAAATAAAATGTCTTACATCCGTAAGATGAACTTTTCCGCACTGTGGTCCACAATAGACTTTTTGATAGACTTTTCAATGCCTGTATGATATCTTAATCATGTGAAAATTTGCAGAGGTTATTTTTTTTCACAAAAAGCTAACATTCTGAAAGTTTGAAGAAATTTCAATACAATTGAGTGGTACCTTCCATACAAAATTTTCGTTTTTGAGCAAAAAAATCCAAAATTTTGTTCGAGAGGTACCCCTATTATGCATTGAAATCTCTTCAAAATCTCGGAATGTTATTTTTGTGTGAAAAAAATAACCTGTGCAAAGTTTGAGCTCATTACGATATCATACAAGCATTGCTTCCATACAAAAACCAAATTTATCGAAATTTTTGTATGAAAAGTGTGTCGATAATGATTCGTATCGCAAAACTAACGTCATATTCGGTATTTAAGAATACATTAAATATCACTTTTGGAAGAAAAATTGAATTTTTCCCATGGGCATCACACCAGACATGACACTTCACTCTATCAACCAATATCGCTCAAAATCTAATGGTTTCTATTCTTCGGCACCCCCAATCATCCTGTGAAGTCAGATTTTGAATTACTTTTCTGGTTTGAAAGAAAGTTATCGTGTTAACAAATTTTTGCGTACAGGGTACAGGATACAGCGTACAGGGTACGCACATACATTCGGACACATACGTCCTCAGCAGGGGTCCCCATGAAAATTTTTAATTGTGCGTCGCCTCTTGAGCATTTTCGCCATGCAATTTTCATTTTTTCCAGAAATGAGAGAGACGACGCAAAATTAAAATTTTTCATAAATTTGATTGTAAGCGTCACTGAAAATTTATATAAGACCATTTTCAGATTTCAGATGTGCAGTATTGCGTCACATTGGGAACTTCGAGTACTTATATCATTATTTTTCTGTTTGTATTCTACAAAAATTTTCATATTCTTTTATTGTATTCAAATAAGTAAAAAAAACACTTCTTTGGAATAGAAGTTCTCACTGTGACGCAATACTGCACATCAAATCTGAAAATGATCTGATATAAATTTTCAGTGACGCTTGCAATCAAATACTCAAACAATTTTTATATTGCGTTGCCTCTTGGGCATTATCACAATGAAATTTTCACTTTTATTCCAAGATCCGATCATATTCGAATACATTTCCTGTACAAAAA